GAAACATTTCTGTCATGTTCTCTCTTGTCTCTCTCTCCAACCCCTTGTGCAGGTTTTGGTTTAGCCAGAATAACCTTCCTTCTGGCTCTATATTCAAAACTTTCTGTGGTATGGGAATATCTTTGCTTCTTCTGAGTCTTCAAAGAAAATGTGGCTCTCCTGGATTTCTCTGTTGCAAAATACTTTGGTCAGCTGAGTGTGGTGATGCATGTCTATAATCCCAGCACTCTAGGAGTCTGAGGCATGAATATCAAAAGTTTGAGGCCAGCTTGGGCAATTCAGAAACTTATCAAAACCCAATCTCAGGATAAAAGGGGCTAAAGATGTAGCTCAAGATCAGTTGCACTGGGTTTAACTCCTGATCTCCACCCCCCCCCCCAAATAGCAACATCAAAAAAGTCTTTGGTCATCTGGAACATCTTCATTTACTTCCCTAAGAATTTCTCTACATTTTCCTTTTCTGAGTTCATACTTTTATTCTGTTGAAAGCCATTCAGTTAGATTGGCAGAGTATATATCCAAGGGTCTGGATTAGATCCACAGCACTGCCCTCCCCAAGGCATCCACCGAACACCAGAAATTGTTCCTAAAGCTTCTAACATTATGTTATACTTCTAAGTGAATGGTTGGGTTGATTATGTTTTCAAGCTTGATGCTACAGAGGAGCTCAGGCATTCTCTACTTTTTAGTAACTAGGAAATTTTCAATATATTTGTGCCTATGTACTTTAAACCAAGCTCTGAGATGACCTGCCTTTGTTGTCCTGACACAGTAGGAGTATTTTAATGAACCAGATTTCAAGTACACATTAATTTCTCTCCTCTCTTTGCAACCCAATGATCTCTTTCCTATTTTCAGGGTGCAGGAATGACCACCTAGTGAACCTCAACTGTGATAGTATTATAAACATAATTTATTTTAATCTCTCGTTTTTTTTTCTTCCTTCATATATCAGATGGTTTGGGATTTCCATAGGTTTTTCCAGTTTGTGCTAATTCTACAGATTTCATGCTGTGGCACAGAGTCTTAATTCCAACCAAAGTGGTTCAAACCCTCCTCGCTCATCATCTCTTTTGAGGTAGCCGTTTCTTCTTCCCAGGTATACCAACTCCTAATTAATGAAACCCATCTGGGACATTACCCTGTCTACAAAGCTTACCTACTCAAACAGGGCTACTGATGCGCTCTGTATCCCTGTAACTCAATGAACTTGTTATATCACCCTGGGAGCAATTCGGTAATGAACCACAGCTATGCTACCTAATGGCCTAAGCTTTGTTTAAGACTATGGCCTTCCAGTAAATGTAATACCACTTAACTTAGGGGAAAAAGACAGGAAGAACAAGCCTCCAAATAGTGAGGAAGGTGCCACTGCACAATCACGTAACAGAAAAAAGTAATTTGGGTGTCTTTCCTAATTATTCTAAGGATGTCTAAAAACACAGGACTTGTCTTTCATTCATTGTCTTTTATGACAGTGTTTACCCTAGTGAAGATACAAATAAAAACACATTCCTGACAAAATATTTACAGTATTTCATAGTATTTCATAGTTACCCAGGAAAATAACGTGAAAAGATTGTAAAAGGTCTGTGTCATCTGAATTATAAATGAACTGAGAAAAGATTTAAAAGGAGGTATTCAGGCTTGGGAAAGAGACACTGTGTAGGCTGGGGCTCCAAGATATAGAATTTCAGGTAGGAGTGTAGTTAAAGGTTGTTGGAAGGCCCAGAGCGATAAGCAAAGATGACAGATCAAGAGGGGTGGAAAAGAGGAAAGCACGTCTGCCAAAGGATACGAATTGCGGCCATTCAAATGCTGCTAGTTAAGTTTTTTAAAAAAACGCAATACAGGGCAAAGGAAAAACTATGTAAGGTAAGTACACCCTAAAATAAAGGTGATTTAACAGTTAAAGATGCTAAAATCTGATTCAGATCTCAGTATATCTGTATGAAGAACGAATCACTGACAGCACAAATCACTATATGCACCAGAAACAGACATAAGAGGAAATATAGCTGAAACTCCCGTAGGGGCTGGATGCACTAATGTTAATCACCACTAAGCATCTGCTAGAAGCTATCCTTTACATGCACTGTAAGAGTTAATCCACACAACACCACAGCTACTAGTAGGCTTTATCAACTCCATTACACAGGAGCAACCTAGGGCCTAGAGTCGCTCAATAATCTGATCTTTATTCTCCCGCTGAGCAGTACAGCCAGAATTTGAAGCATTTATTCCTATTGGAGGCTATGCTCCTTACCTCACATCAGTCTAGAATGGTTTCTATTTTAAAAGAGATTAAGTGAGGTCAAGGACTCCGTCATAGTAATGGCACCCTGCATGATCTGATGATATATTTAATGAGTGGTCTTCAACTGGAGACACAGCCACCACTCTAGCAATGGGGCATACAATCTTGGAGTGTGTTGCAGTCCATGAAACCAGCTTTGCCACGTGGATTAGAATAGCTGGTGTGTAGCAGTCAATTCGGGTGAATTGTAGTCGGGTGAATCGGTGTGTAGTCATCAATTCAGGTGAATTTCAAATCATTCATTTAACAGAGATTAGTAAAAATACAGATTCTGGAAATAGATGGTCCTATTCCATATCTGAATGCTGCTGTACGCTAGTTACACAGAAAAAGCTCGGCAGATTACTTTCTCAGTCTCTGCTTCCTCATACAGACACTAACACCAAATTCAGATGGGGTGGGGAGAATCTTTAGACAATGAGAAAAAGTACATCACTAAGATGAAAGAGGCTTGTCCTCATTTAGGTTTCACTGCATTAACTTAGCTGTATGGTCTTTTAGCAATCCACAAACTCTGGACTCTTCTGTAAAATGTGGATGGTACCACCTAACTTGGGGGTTTACTGTAAGAATCTGAAATATGTTACGGACCTGGAGCAACTGGCTGTATTATAGCAATGTACCACATCAAATCATTAACACAGTGCTTGTCAAAAAATACAGCCTCCATCTCATTTCTTGTTCAACTCGGTTTTCTCATAATGTTCCTGGTGCCTAACTTCAAAATACTATAGACTATTAAAAAATCATGACAACTGAGTGTGTTGTCACACATCTGTAATCCCAGCCCTTGGAGGCTGAGGCAGGAGGTCTGCCATGAGTTTGAGGCCAGTCTGGCTACATAATGAGTTCAAGGCCAGCCTGAACTACACAGAGAGACCTTGTCTCAAAAAACAAAAACAAATGAACAAAAAATCATAACAATAACTTGGACTGTGGGAGTTAAAAATATTTCCTTGTATTGTTTTTAAATGAAAAATTTTATACAAATGGGCAAATCATTCGTTTCTTACAGCTTTTAATGCAGTTTTCCACTAAAAGTATTCATTTTAAAAATACACCTCATTAAAGTGCATAGCCACTCTGAAAAACATTAGTGCCATTAACAAAGGCTTTGATAATTTTACTGATAAGAAGATTAACTGTGCTTGCTATCTTTGATACAATCATTAGGCTGGTGGACCTTGGAAAATACTTATTTCTGGAATACTGCTCCCCACATCCCCCTTGAGGAAAACAAACTTACCCTAATGGAGGACTTACAATAAGGGTGACACCTTTGGCCTTCCTTATTTAAACCAGTCACATGAACTCAAGTAACAGATTCGAGCTGTAGACATCTAATCTGTTATCTCTGTCCACACATTCAACATATGAATCTGCAAATTCTGGGGAGTTCAGATTATATGTTGGGCTTACCAATTTCCTACAAATCACTAAAAAGCAGCAGAAGGTACCCAGTACACAGTTCAGGTGTAGGCAGTTCTCAGGCCTCAGTCAAGAGGGTCACCATACACCTCTAGTCCTCTCCTGTTGACTGCGCCCCATCACCTCCCCGTGCTTTAGCAAAAGAGCACTTACCTATCAGGAGACCTGACCCTTGCGTAAAGCTACACTTCTTATAGGACTGCAGTCTTGTGGAGGAAGTATGTGATTAAGATAGAGGAGTGTGATTTCCTCTACTTAACGCATCCTACCAAGGCTGCAATAAATAGGCCAAGTCAAGCTTCCCTCGGCCAAACGCTGGCAGTTCCATAAAGTCAATAGGTGACTGGCTGCTGTTTGTTTTTACTTTTAGGAGGATGAGAACCTGAAAATGTTTCCTAACTGATTTGCTGGGAGTTTAAAAACGCTTAAGGAATTTGCCACCCAGGGAAGTTTGGCCTGCACACTCTGAAAATCTGCATCAGGGAGTGCGCTAGGCATATGCCTGGCCAGTGCACCCAGGTGCCTGGAGATTTTGAACACACTGAACTCCGAAGAGCAGAGGCAGGCGTGGGTGGGGGAGGGAAGAATCGGTGGAGGGAGAGAAGAAAGGCTTTGGCATGTCGCGCGCACATCCTAAGGCTCCAGAGTTGCTAACTCTTCCCTGTTCACCTCAGTTGCTGGAATCCAGCTGGGGAGAGGACGATCCGTAGACTCGCTGTGGGATGAAGGCAGCGCTGCTGGCCTCACCCGTTGGCCTAGACACCTGGCTTGGCAGCCCCAGGCTCTAGCGAGATCCCGCTCTCCCCCTGGTTCTGCAGGTGAGCGGACAATGCCCCCTTTCTCCCCTCCAGGCCCTTCCCATCCCCTTCCTTCTCTAAAAGTGCTAACTTCAGGGCTAAGATCAGGAAAGGGCAGGCCCCGGGGTCTCAGGGATTTCCAAGGTAGGAAGAGGCGACAGCGCCGGCGGTCGAGCTCGTGCGCTCTCCCGCGTGGCCCCTCCCGGGCCGCAGAGCCGCCGCGGCCGCGCTGCGCGGGGCGCCAGGCTGGGTCGCTGCCCGGGTGCGGGGCAGCCATGGGATGGGTGGTGGGTCGGGGCGGGCCGGCTCCGGAGCCGGGCAGACGACCGCACCGGTCCGTCCGAGAGCCGGGAGGAAGCCGAGGCGCGAGCGAGGCGGGGTGTTGGCCCCCCGGCCGCCCTGCGGACCCAGCGCGGCGGCGCCCTCTCCTCTCCATCCCTCCGCGGTCCCGCCCTTACCTTGCGCGCGCGGGCGCCGGCGGGAGAAGGTGCCGGGAGCGGCGAGCTGCCTCGGGCGGGGCTCAGCGGCGGCCGGGCACGGCGGGGTCCCCACTCATGGCTTGTCGCGCGCGGAGCCCTACGGCCGCGGCCACGGCGGCGGCTTCCTCCTCGGCGTCTTCGCGGGCTCCGAGCCGGGACGCAGCTCACGCCCCAGCCCCGCAGCCGCCCTCCCCCGCGCCTCCCCGGCCGCAGACGGAGCCGCCTCCTGCACCGCCCCGCGCGAAGCCGGCCAGCGGCAGCCAGCGCCGCCCAGCGCCCGGCCCCGGGGTCGCCGCGAAAGAGGCCGCGGTGCCAAGCCCGCTGTGACGCAGGCGGCGGTGCCCGGGAACTTCCTCCCCTGCGGAGACCACCCGGCGCCCGGCCGGCCGGCGAGGGCTGCCGCGGGCCTCCGAGGTGGTCTCGGGTCGGCACGCGGGCCGGATTCTTCCCGCCGCCCGGCCGCGCACCTGGGGCCGGGCAGCAGCAGCTCCGCTCCACCCGAGCCGAGCTCCGCGCGGGGAGCCCGAGGCTTCAGTGCGCGCCGCGTGTGCTCCGCTGCCGCAGCTCCTCCTCTGGGTAAATTGGATCCCAGCAGCCACCACTAAAAATAGCCTTTGTGGGAACTCCTCGGAAGACCGGGGTCAGGATGGAGATAACCCCTTCGCCAGGAACCCCGGGTTGGGTGGGGGGATGGTGGGCTGCGGGCGCTGGGGCCGGGGCAGACAGCGAGAGAAAGGCAAAACCCAGATCTCTGGAGCTGGAAGCCCTGAGCCCCTGGACAACCGAGCCTCCAACTGCCAGATGGGATCCCTGATCTCTAAGCACCAGGTTCCAGAGGGACTCGGTTTGGACACTCCGCCTGCGGTTTCTTGCAGTGGGTAACGAGTTGACGACCCTGCACACCGAGCCACCTGTTGTTTCGCTTGTGGGGGAGGGGCCCTCGCTCATTCATTGGTCTGAACCATGCTTTTCTCCTCCCCAACCCTTTACCCAGTTTCAGGATGAAAAGGCAGACTCAGACTTCTGGAAAGCTTGCATCACTAGTCAATGTGGAAAAATCTTCCCAGTGGTGGAAATATAGACGAGACTACGACGTAATAGAGTGTTCTGGGACTACATTGTCAATAATCAGCTATTTTAAAAGCACCAAAGATTGGACTATTGCTTTGTCCTGTCAGGCTGGGAAAGGCAGATAGAAGCACGTGAGTAGAGAAATTAAAAAAACGACCAGTAGCCATTTACTGGTTTATGCATTAGTCTTGATGAAGACTAACACTAAGAGTCTTCAGAAAGCAGTCATCTCTTTTTACCCCACTTACACTTTAGTCAGATTAAAAGAAAATTTGTCTAAAAGTCATTCACTTGAGCTTTTAACTGTTCTCTCCTGCTCACCCTGCAACATACTGCGTGTTTTCCAGTTCCAATCTGTTAGATGCCTAGAAGACAACCTTAGTGCCCCTGCTTAACAACTCAGGGTATGACTGTAACACTAGCCTTAACTAACCTAGGTCGGGACAGAAAGTTAAAGTGGGGCTTTCTTCGTGGGCAGCAGATGGGTAAGGTTTTCTCTCTTGCGGAGGGGAAAGGCAGAGGCTGGCTTCAGTGATTTGCTCAAGAATTAAAGTAACTTGTAAGCCAGCAGATAGATGAAAAAATATCTCAGATATCTAGCCTGCACCTAAAACGCTAATGAAGAGAGTAATGCGAGCACAAACCTCCATAGAAAGCTTCGCTCTGCAAGTGACTTCTAAGGATATTTCAGGTCCTCTTGCATCCAGACTAAAGCTTAGTTAGCATCCCTCAAATGCCCCCTTGCTACTCGGTGCCACGGAAGCACTGAACCCTAGATTTTTAACTCTAGTGAAACAGTTTGAAATAGCTGTTATTCTTCTTTAAACTTAGAGAAGTTATTGTTCCTTTTTATTTTTTCTCCCATCAGTAATATAGGACTATGGAACACTGTGCGTGTTCAATAAAAATAAGCTTACTGACCCAAGAAAGAGCCAAGTGCTTTATTAGCACTCAATAAATGCAAGCTGTTATCATACTTATTATGCTTTATTTCCCTCAGAGCGAAGGAATGTAAACATTAATGAGGTTTGGAAACATGGGATCTGAATCTCCTGCAAGTTAAGCCTGTCCTGAGTTACTTTCTAGCAATGAACCTATCTCTTCTGTGCTTGCCTTTTAGCAGGGTGAACCTGACAGGTCCTCACGTGTAAGTAGCTGACTCATGTGCACATTAAAGCTTGAGAGCTACTAATCTGAAAACCACTGTGCTATACTGCTTAGCTCCTTTTATTGTTTAAACCATATAGTCCTGAAGTCTAGTCTTTCACCTCAGTCGACCTAACTCGGATCGCAAACATATTAAGCTCTCTGTAAAGCACTGGGCTAGAGCACCAGGTGAACCAGCAAGTAATCAGTAAGCTTGTGGGAGTGCCAGGTCCTGAGAGAAGTATCAGGTGTACTCCTGGACTTGGTTCCACTGTTCACAGTTGAGGAGAGGAAATTTGGCATACACAGGAAGTCAAATTAACTGTAGCTGAAGTTTAGAGAAAGGGGAGGGCGCTCTTGGCTGAATGAACTGGGTGTACGATTTCCATTTGACCTTTTGCTTTATACTTCATTCTTCTTTTCTTTGTCTTGCTCATCTTGCTTGCACATCCCTCCATTCCTACCTTTCTTCCTTTTTTCTTTCCTTGATTCCTCCTCGTCCCCCTCCCACCTCTTCCTTCTCTTTCCTTCCCTTCTTCCCTCTCCCCTGCTGTCCCTGTAGATGTGGTCTCAGATCCAGGGCCCATAACCACATGACCTTTAACTTTTCAATCCTTGAACTTCCGCTTCCTCATTTATCTATTGGACATAGTTGCTTTCTAAGGTGACAAGATAGAAACTGTCGTAGGCTGTGTGGAAGTGGTACTAACGTTGCATTGTTTTGTTAGCTACAAATAAAAAAACCCAACAAAAGCAAAACATTGCCTGCCGGGCTATATCATTTTTTTTTGAAAGTATAGTTCAAAAAGTAGTCACTTTTTCTATGAAGCCTGTGTAGGTTCCAGGCAGAATAATTCCTTCTTCATGCTCCCAAAGCACTCGGTTTGAACTGATATTTCAGCATTTACCCAGGGACTGCTGTCATTTATTTTTTTTTCTGCCTGCTTCTCTACCAGTCTATGACCCTCTCTAGCACAGGGACTGTATTTTTATTTAACTGTGTGTCCATCACCAACACCTAGCAGAGAACCTAGTATTATTAAATGTTGCAAGAATGAGTTTTAATTTCTGGTAACCGGTCATTCAGTGTAACTCATCGTATTACAGGCTGTAAAACTTAAGTCCTTTAGCTCATAAAGAATTTATATTAAAGTGATATATTATGTATATGTATCTACTTTATGCTTGATATTTTGTTGCTGGGATCATTCTTTAAAGCAAGTCTGCTATTCTTGTTTCATCCTGTGTTTAATGTCAGTTGATACTGCCTGGTAGTAGTGAAAGTGAAATTTAAGTTCTAAAACAGAACCACTGGCCGGATTGTCCCCTACTTCTCTATTTTCCTTGTGCACATCTCCCCAGATCATGTCTAAGCTTTGCTGGAAAGAACTGAGCTAGGAAAAAAATATCTTTTGTTTTAAATTTCAGCTGTTTAACATTGTTACTACCATTAACACCTTTCAAATTAATAGCTGCAAGATAAAATCTATCTTTAGCAACAGTTTTGAAATCCTTAACTCAGCATCATTAAAAATACTAAGAGGGTGAGAATAAACCTTTGTGCAGGAAATTCCCTTGGAGCTAACATGGCCAGATGTGATCTTCACCCTGAAGTGGCAGGTGAATTTGTACTAGGGGACATGGTGATGCCCAAGATCTACAAGTAAGATTATTTAGACAACTGAATCAAATTCTTTGAAACTCAGTCTTGTGTATTTACTTCCTGTCCCCAACACAATTGTTTGGTACCAGTAAGTTGTGAAATTTTCCTTGATACTAATAATGAATTAGGACTTTGGGGGTACATACTGTATGCTAAATAAGGCTTAAAATCTACATTTGTCTCCTTTAATCACCATAGTTATTCATTAAATAGGCAGTATTATTTTCTCTGTTGACAAAAGAGAAGACAGAGGCTCTTATCAACTGGCCAGCCCACTGTCACATGAATAAGACTTAGGATTTGGTTCTAGGCAAGCCTAATTTTCATAGTCCTCATGCTTAACTATCAGTCAATCTATGAGAAAAAAAAATTATTTTTAAATTAACCCATCAAGTATATCCTGTAAGATTAATGATATACTTTCACAAGACTTTTTAAAATTGGATTCATTTGTACTTTTCCCAAGTGGTCTACTCAGATCCCAAATGTGTCCTCATGAGGTGGTTACAGCTTACTCTTTAATTGAAAATCACTTTGTGACTGAAAGCCAACTTCTTAATAAAAGATCATAACATTTCTGTGCTTCTGATTTTAGGCAATATAAAATACACAGGGAGACAGCTCTGTTTTTTTAGACCTATTATTCAGGTGGTTCAAAGTGACAGGTGAGTAGCTTTTACCTGATACATATTGTCAGAAAACCATGAAAGGTTGGTTCCACTGTCCCCCATGAGTCAAGTAACTCGATAGACCAAACAACAAGAGGGGGGAAAAAAACCCTTAATTGACAATGAGCCAACAGGGAGAAGATGGAAGGTTTTCACTCAGACTTAATCTTGCCAAGGGTTACAGGTACAAAAGCTTGTATCAGGTTTCTGGGGAATCTGATTTTAGCTTTAGCTGGGTGAGCATTGAAAAAGTCATTAATTCTTGTAGCACTGAGCCCTCTTGATATGGTTTTGATGTTGTCCAAAGTCATCAGGTGTTCCAGACACTCCTGGTTCCTAGAAACCTAAAGAAAGACGACATTTTTTTAAGGAGGTAGTGTAACTGGTACTGTCCTTTGATGCTTTTCCTTGTTCTTCTTTTCAGACAAAGCTTGCTTTATTGGTTAGTTATCTGGAGAGTGGGGCATAACAGGATACACAAAAGAGAAACTGAAAAACAGATTCCTTAGTACTAGGAGTGAATTAACTCACTTACTGAGTTCTGTTATATTATGATATAGAAATATACCTTT